GGATCCCCCCCGGGCTTTGGGGACACAAGAAACCTCATTTTTTTTTTCCCCTCCCATTTCTTTCCGTACCTTCCCCTCCCGGAGTCCTTCACAACCATAAAACCACTGCTAAGCAACAAGCGTGTGTTGTGCTTCGCTGTCCGAGCGTCTCCTCGACGCCAGCAAGGAGGGGGAACCACAAAAGGTCATCACGGCCCCTCCGAGCCCACACAAGGGGGGGTAAAAAAAAATCGTATTTGGCATCAAAACCATTTTATTATTTGCTTGTAAGTGTTACATCTCTCACCTGGGTTTGCGCACTCGCTGCCAGGCAAAGTTAAGCTCAGAAATCAAAATGCTCGTTATCCAGTTGGAAATGGAAATAATACAAATCCAAGGCACTGAAAAAAAAATAAGCAGGACTTTGTACACTGAAAGCCTTAATATAAATAGGTAAGAAAATATTTATTTGTTTAAAGAGGAATCTCAACCCCAGCTCTGTCAAAGAGACCGACTCGATTCCATCCTTCATTGCATATATTGCTTAATAAAATGTCCGCAGAAAGAAGTAAAAATCCGTCTTCAAAATAGAGGAGGAAAAAAAAACCTCCCAGAGCAAGAAATTGGGAATTTCAGCATCAAACCGCAGCGGTCCGGCTCCCCACCTCCCGCATCACAGAGTTAAGCGCTCAGAAAAAAAATTGGGGTGATGTTCGGCATCTCGGCATGGCGTTCATCTGATTTTGCAGGTGACATGTCTCCAGGAAGATGCTCCCCACCGAGGGAAGGATTTATCCAGCCCAAATATTCGAGGAGAAAGCAGAGAAGTCTCCAAGGAGGCTCTATCGCATAAACCTTTGGCAAGAATTACCTTAATTGGGGCAGTGCTGCGAGCGAGAGTCCTCCTGCTCTGAGCGCTCGCTCACCCTCTCGTTATTACGGAGAGGCGATGAAGCTGATGGCTTTTTTTGCAGAAAGGAAACGCCTCGGAGGTTTGCTGTGATCCAGGTAGAAAATAAAAGGCCCCCCGACACGGAGGGCGCTGGTGTGGAGTGTTTTAAGGCACATGTTCATTTGCTCTCTGGCACTTATATCAGCATTTTAATGCCGGGGGGGGATTTAAGAGCAAGAGCGGGGTGTCCCGAAGCCCCTGCTTTGGTCCTGAAGGAATCACGACGATCCCAGCACCCGTGCGGGGAAGAGAGGATGACGGGCTGGGGTCAGAACTGAACCCAGCCTGCGTTCGCCTGAGTCTGGTTAGAAGCTGACCTGGAGAGAGAGAAAAAGAGAGGGGAAAAAGAGGTTTTAGACATTGAAAGGGACTGCAGCACGCAGGGAGGGAGCTGGGCGGCCAGAAATGGGTCCTCCGGGGTCACCCCAAAACTCTCCCCGCTGCACTGAGCAGCCCAGATCAGCGGGGGAAGACGGACCTGCACTGAACTCGGGGAATTTGCAACACACGCTGTCAGAGCTGCTTTTAAATCCCAAAGGGGTGTTCGGATGGAGCGGTGCCCCCACCCCAGCAGGGGTTTTCAGCAAGACAAGTAGGATTTGGATCGCCCACATCACGCGCAAATCCCACACGGCCTCACCCTGAAGCTTTGGCAAAGTCTCCCCAGACGTCGGCAGCGGCGGCAGAGGGAGCAGCAGCGGGCTGCGGCCAGGACAAGAGGGAGTCTGTTGGCAGCCAGGAAAGTCAGAGAGAAAACAAACACCAGGAGTTATTTCCCACTCTTATTCCCAGATCCCCCCTCTGTTTTCCCAATTTTGATGGATAAAACTGACTCTAAAGAGCTTTACAGTCGTCGCTGCGTGACTACGGACCTGTGATGGGGGTGCCCGGGAGCTGGGCAGGCGCCAAGAGCGAAGGCGGCCGCTCTCCAGAAGGACAAAGCGGAGCGGAAGATTTTCCTCCGGGAGGTGGTGGGAGCAAGCTCAGGCCCCCAGCACCCACGGGACGTGGTCTGGTGTTCCCCGTTGCTCCTTCTTTTTTCTTCATGTTCTGATAGAAGAGAGGGAAATTTGGGTGGTACCACATTTAAATCCAGAGCCGGAGCGTGATTCCTCCCAGCCACGGCTCACACGAAGCCAAATTACTTTATTCTGGGGAAAAAACCTGCTGTGCTGCAACGTCCCACTGCTGGAGGAGCAAGAGGGGTCAAACCAAGGATGTTTTTCACCTGCAAATCCCCACCACGAACACACAGACCCAGTTCTGTAACCGGGAACTGTAAGGCAACCCCTCTGCAAATCACTGCACGCGGCGTTATCACGAAGGGCCCTGCATCGGGCTTCCCTCTGCACGGGGATTTCAGGGCAAAGCTGCTGCTTCCTCTTGTGCCACCCAAGGGAAAGGTCGGGAGCGGATCTAGCCAGAAAAGCCCCTCACCGCAATGTTGAGTTTGATGGTTTGCCCCTCCTTGAAGCCCAGATCCAGTTTTGGTCCCTGATGAGGGTTCTCGGCCTGTTTGGCCAGCTCGCTCTGCTGCCTCACCCACCTGCAGGAATTAAATAAGCAGAAAAGAACACTTCAACCACCAGCCTGAGGCTCTCCCGGACAAATCCTGCCCAAGATCATCCCCTCTGCCTGGCAGCAGCTCTTTAAAGGCGCTGAATATGATCCGAGACCTTGCCTGACGGAGCGATGTGCTACAGGCAGCACCGGGGGAATGATTCCTACCCGCGGCTGGCAGTGCTCGAGCCGCAAGGGTCCCCCAGCCAGCAGCGCAGTCCATCCTGCCCCAAAGCCCCACTATCTGCCAGGAGCTGGAGCAGCGTCCCAGCCCCTCAGGAGCAGTCCCTTACCGGTGACACGTGAAGAAATGAAAAGGAATTAGGGAATTTGCCCAATTTTGGACTGGGAAGCCCAGTTTGGGAGCCTGCTGGGAAGTATTTGAGAGCGAGCGAGCTGCCTGCACAAAGGCTGCGCAGAGAAACAGGCATTTCCACCTCTTCACACCACGTTTGCCCGCTCAAGCGTGACAGGAGCTCACAGCTTCCTCTCCCCCAGCGTTTCTGGTGGACACCCACAAAAAAAGTCGAGCTGAGAGGACGCAGGGGCGAGGCACAAACTCACTTAAAGTGGTCTTGGAGAGCCACGTTGAAGTCAAAAGCATCCCCTCGGTCAACAAAGCCGACTCCAATGAAAGCTCGGCGGCCTGGGGAAGGAGGAAGAGTAAGGGCAAAGCAACGGAGGAGGACGGAGCGGATACCCCGTCCCGCACACCCCCATGCCCGCCACCTCCTCCAGCTGGAGCTCTAGAGACTGGAGATATCTTTATGGGACTGGAGATATCTTTAGCTTGTTGGTTGCACATACAGGCTTAGTAAAACCAGCTTTTAAATTAATATAAGCGAGTCAAAGCAGAGGTTGGCATCACGGTGATGATCCTGCACACAGAGGCGTCCTCACGCTAACGCCAAGCAGCAAAATTAAACTGTTTTTATTCCTGGTGAAGGACAGAGCGCAGCTGGCGTGTGGGAGTGAGACAATTCGTGCCTTTGCCACCGTATGCAGGGAATATTTAGCCCTTGAAAGCAGGAATCCTTCACAAATAAGAGCAGCAAGAGCACTGAAGACTTTATGAGGTGATTCCCCCAACCTGTCCCCCATGTATCGCAACGTACCGTTCCCATCTTCGATCCGGATGACGAAATATCTGCTGGAGTCCGTCACGCTCTCCACAGCGATGCCAGGGAACTGCTCCACTGGCGCCTGGGCAAAAAGCTCTCCTGAAAAAGAGAAACGGAAGCTTAATGCCAGGGCGTAGCGTCTCTGCGCCATCTTCCTCCCCACGAAGAGGCGCGGGGCCGTCGCCTTCCCTCCTCCTTACCCGAGGTCTTGTCCTCCAGCTTAATGAACGCGATCTTGCCCTTGGCCGTGATCCGCAGCCTGCCGCTCCATGCCGGCTGGACACTCTGCAGCTCTGGAGAAAGAGGAAGCGGCGACCGATGTCTGAGACACCTCTCAGACGACCCAGACAACGTCACCGACCTATTTTAACGTCCCCGTAACACATCACAGAGCTTGTCTGCTCGACTCCCTTGTTAACAAGTACCGAAGCGACGCAAGCAAGAACCCGCCTACACCCACCCTCGCTGCAGAACGAGGTAGATTCATCGCACACCTCTCGTTTCACCCAAAACCAGCTGGCCCGCTGCAAAACCAGGCGTCAGGTCCCAGCGG